TTGTTGTTTGGCGAGCCCGGGCTGGGGATTCGAACCCGCCACCTTAGGTGTATGTGGCTGGCGCCCCAGCCGCTTGAGCCACAGGCGCCGAGCCAGATTTAACTTTTCATAAGGAGGGACTTCTCAGGAAAAGACAATAATCCACATAGGTAAACGTGCCAGATTACTGTGCTACAGATTAAAATGGCTTTGTTCTTGGCTCAGCACCTGTAGCTCGAGCAGCTAGGGTGCCAGCCACATGCACCAGAGCTGGCAGGCTCAAATCCAGCCCGGGCCTGCCAAACAACAATGACAACTACAACCAAAAAATAGCCAGGCGTTGTGTCAGGCGCCTGTAGTCCCAGCTACTTGGGAAGCTGAGGCAAGAGAATTGCTAAAGCCCAGGAGTTGGATGTTGCTGTGAGCTGTGACGCCACAGCACTCTACCTAGGGCAACAGCTTGAAGCTCTGTCTCAAAAAAAAAATAAAAATAAAAAAATTGCTTTGTTCCCAGGGCTATTCTTGCCCTGAACTTCTCTGTTAAAGACCCCAATCTGCCAGGAGTATGCTGGGACTCCTCTCTACTGAGTGCCCTGCTGATCTGTAGATGTTCTCACATGGGCCAGTATGACCAAAACTTGCTAAAGCCTGCTCTGTTCGTCTGAGGTTTTTTGACTGACCCAGAAGCTCCAGACAGGATACAACGTTACAAATTCTTCTGAGAACTTCATAAAAACTACAGACCTTTCTCCCCCCGAAATGTTCACATATAATCTCTTAACATTTTGTATACAATTTCAAGGGATTTTGGATTTTTTTGGCCATTAATGGTCCTTGAGTTAAAAGCTTTGGAATTACACAAATTACCTGCTTATGAGAAATGGGTCAAACACCATTCTTCCTCCTCAAGTAAGCACCATAGCCACAGGCCACTTAGCTAAGGGTCATCAGCCTTGTGGACACAAGAGTTTTGCTCAACATGCTACTACTGGCTAGTGAGATTTCCTTTCCCTTTGCAAAGAACATTGGTCTTCTTGGGAATACAGAGGCGGCCACCATGGTACTGCCTAAAGATCTATAATATATATCACACGTACACATGTGCATGGCATCAATCTCTCCCACACTCAGGGGCAGGAAAGAGTCACATTTCCAGGAAAAGCAAACCAAGCTAGTGCAGAAGCAAATCATACGATACTACCCAGTCAATTGGATGGTGGATATATTTGGCTTTGGTAGCTCTGGTTTCTTTACTCAGCAAGAATTAGGGAGTGGGGAACACTGCCTCTTCATACTTGGTACAGAGTCTATCCTATAGACACAGCTTCCTCTTCTTTTAAAATGCAAGACCTGGGCTGAGAGTACCACCAACTGAAGTCAAGGTCAGGCATGTGCTCTGGGCTGAGATCCCCTGCCACTGCAGGAGACAGACACCTTACCTGTCTGAGAGCTGCCCTGAAATGAAGGAGCCCAATAGCACGCCCACGAAAAACATGGAGATCGTGAGCGGGGCCTTCCAGTCGTCCTCACATACCAGGTTCCACTGTAAGAAGAGCAAAGGGGTGTATCATTCACTTCCTTTAAAAGGTTTTAAATTGAAGCCTTCCTAGAAAATGAAGCCAGAACATCCTGCTTCCCTGCATGCTCTGGGTGTGTGAACTCATTTAGGTAGGTGATGGCTCACAAGGGTAGGAAGGTTGCCTATTATAGAAAGGGCAGGCTCTCTCCCCACCTTGTCTTCATATCTTTGTGAGCCTCACTGTCTTGCGTCCATTTTGAGGAGGGAAGACGGGCAGGGAGCAAGTACTCTGCCCACATGCCCACTCAGGAAAAGGCAAGGCGTCTGGTGTGCACACTCCTATAATTTTAAGTAGAACCCAGGGCTGCGGGAGAGGCAGGGTGCCCTTGCTCAGTGGGGGTTCAGGCCACTGACAAGAATGGTACAGAGTGTTCTGGAGTGAGGCTCTGGGCTCTAGGGGTCAAGGCATCCAGCAAGGGACTGAGGCCAAAGGGCTCAGATGCACCATCTGGACCTGTCCCTTTAGCTCTGCTTAGGCTCCCACTCTAAACCAATGACCCATAGATCCTTCTTTTGATATTTAGAGCTAGAATCCCTGAAGCTGCACACCAATAGTACTAGGCCCAATTATAGCTGAAAGCTCTGAGCTGGGAGCAAGGAAACTGGTTCCACTCTACTATTACATGGTTGCCCAACTTCAGACAATTATTTCCCCACCAATGACTGTGGGGAATGATGACTGTGGGGAATGCTGCCTTAATTTCTCCACTTGTAAAACAGGGACTGGGATAGGGAAGAGGCTGCACTGCTTGAGTTCCCAGCATTCAATGTGTGGTTGCACCTGTAGTTACCATGAACAGAGAAAGAGGTCTGCAAGGGAGGGGGCATGTGGGGAAGTAGGCAGGCTTAGACGGTGGGCCACCCCAGCCTCAGAAGGAGCCAAAAGAAGGAAAAAAGCAAAACCAGAAACTTGGTGGTTCCAGAAAAATGTTTTCCAGAACAGAGAGATGGCGCTCAGTAATAACCTTTGCAGACTTCTCATGTGAACAGCCATCATGCTGGGAATTCAGGCCCTTGACTGTTGGGCACTAGGCTGCTAATCTGCCCTCCATGGAGCCTGCTGGCTCCCCACTAATGAACAGAAGCAGGGAGAGTGTGCGGTCCCCTAGAGCAAAGCAGCTCTTCCCAGCAATAGAGGGAAAAACAAGCCCGCTCTGTTCTGCTGGAAAGTGTGTGCAACAGCCTCTGGGCACCTCTCAGAGGGGTCGGAGGGCAGCCTGCAGGCTGGACACAAAGAACCCTTGCAGTCAGGCATGCTGCTGGCTCTCCACTTTGGAACAAGCATTCACCTAGATGGGCTGAGAGAGGGGTGGTGATCTCCATCCCAGACAACAGGAGTCAAGAGTATCGGAACAGCACAGCTTGAAAGCTCAGGCTGCCACACTCTGAGGTATCAGAACCCAGATTACCATCTACTCTGGTAGATGAGTGAGTGCCCCTAGGGCAGACCCCATCCACAAACAACCAGGACTGGGAGTAGTGGGGAAGACAAAGCTGAGGGAATCAATGATAGGTGCTGACCTCTTGGTGTGAGGTTGAGTTTCAGGGGCCAGATTATGGCTATTGCCACCCTTGAGTATGAAGGGATCTAGTTTCCAGCTAGCATGTATTACTTTTGTAGCAAAAAGATTGACAAAAAAAAGAGAACAAAGGGTCAGCAGCTGTTTCTCTACAGGTCTATCACGAAGGCTGGGGACAAACAGGGCTGAGTTAGGTTAGAGATCCACATGGGTGTCTGCAGTGAGTTCTGAGGTTGAAGGGGACAGGATGACTACATTGCTCATCCTGGGATAGACACCAGTGCATTTCTCAGGGTCCCTCAGCCACTTGGTTCAGCCTTTTCCTAGTCTAGGCAAGTGTGTGACCCCTTAGAGTAACTGGCCCTCCATCCACTGCTGACAGTCCTTGCCAACTCTCAGGGCCTGGGTTTGGGAAAGCAAACATGCAGTAACACTTCTTTTCTACTAGCTTGCAGGGGGAGGGGAGGGGACAGCTTTGAGGGCAGGCATGCATTTGGTCCCACCCAGACAATCCATCCACACACCTGTCACCTACAAGATGGATTGCATGGGCTCTGGGATGTGTCCTAAATCCCCCTTAGAAGAGACGAGAGGAGAAGCCCATAGAGCACAGGCTAAGTACCCCTTGCTGTGTATAGCCCTGGGAGTGGGGTGTTCCTATACTAAGCTGCTGGCTCCCCAGGTAGAACTAACGTAACTACAGATCAGCTTGAATATGTGGGGTTAAGACTCAGGTCACAAGTCTAGCATCATTACCTCTCAGCTGGGTGAGCTGCAAAAGCAGATTCAACCTCAAGAATACCTGGGAGCAACTCTGGCAATGAGCCTAGACTTGCCCTTCTTCCTGATCAGAAATGTGCCTTTCAAATGGTGATGGTTTCACAGGTGTATAGATATATGTGCCAAGGTTTTCAAATTTCATACTTTACATATATGCGGGTTTTATATAATTTATACCTTGATAAAGTTGTTAAACTTTTTAAAAAGAGGGAGCCTTGTGTCTCTTGTACCTTATACTTTATTAGTGCTGATTCTCAGGTATGGGAAGTAAAGAGGTAACATAGTTCCCTGGGACTAAATGTTCTTATCTGTGAATTGGCTGGAAGGGAAAAGACATAGGGTCTGTGCCCAGAAGGCAGAAGTTCTTCCCTGAGATGTACCTAGCCTGACTGCATCAATGGTCAAACACACTGGCAAACACCACGTTACAGCAGGCCGTGTATTCCTACACACATTTCATTCTGCCTCCTGCTACAGTTGATGGCGAACCCTTGCCTCAAGGTTGTCAGTGCAAAGAAAAGAGGTATTTGCTATCATATCCTCTGTAGTACCTGGCAGTACCTTATACAGAGGAGAGGCTCAGGAGTTGTCTGGTATACAGGTGAGTGAATGAATGGAAAAATTAAACAGCTGTCGACCTTCAACCTCATAGTAACCTTTGGGCTTGGTCCTTGCTTGGCTGCCCAAATGAACTCTGAACTTCAATCTCTAGAATACACTTATTTTCTTTGTTCCCTGATCCCCTGCTTTGTGACAACTGTCAGAATTTTGATCTGGTGTGACAGTTTTCAGCTAGGTAGAGAGAGGCTCAATTTGACCACTCACAGCCAACTGTGTTGACTATGCATGCATAGAGGGCTGCAGGGCCCAGCAGGTGGCTTTTCTGGCTTGCCATAAGATGCAAAGGCCTAATGGATGAGGGTCTGTGCTTCACCTGGGTGAGAGAAGTTAGCACTGGCACAGCAGTGAGGCACAAACTCCAGATCACTCTAGTTGTTCCAGCCCAGTCTCAGCCCAACCCTACTCCCAAATTGCTGTGGCTTTTCCTTCAGTCAGGTCTGTGGATAACAGTGGGGGATCTCTCATTTTCCAGGACTATCTATCTATACGGGAGACAAAGCTGACAGAAAAGCTAGTCCAGGATGATAGAGAGTGGGAGTCCTGCTGAGGACTAGGACAGGTGGCTCTGGGAAGCAGAGACAGGAAGATAGCAAAGCAATGCAGAGGACTGTGCTAGGTCTTGGCTGAAGAGGCTTGGGCTTCTGGGTGCCAGCTTAGAAGTTGTTTTTCTTTTTGAGACAGTATCTTACTATGTCACTCTCAGTAGAGTGTTGTGGCATCACAGCTCAAAGCAATCTCCAAATCTTGGGCTTTAGTGATTCTCTTGCTTCAGTCTCCCGAGTAGCTGGGATTACAGAAGCCCACTATAATGCCTAGCTATTTTTTTGGTTGGAGTTGTCATTGTTGTTTAGCAGGCCCAGGCCGGGCTCAAACCCACCAGCCTCAGTATATGTGGCTGGAACCCTCCTCACTGAGCTACAGGCACTGAACAGCAGCTTAGAAGTTTTTAAAGGACACTTTAGTAAAGAAACTGGGCTAATCTATGATGAACCTAAAAAGTGGGTGGGCTAGGCAACCTAGAAATCACCCAGGTTCCCAGAGGAAGGGGCAGTACTGGGCTGAGAAGCACTACAAGATGGGCTGGCTGATTCCCTAGCACACTAGTGATGACTGAGGGGCCACAGGAGGGGGCAGCCTAGAAGGATGTGGACTGCCAAACTATTCCCAAACCATGGGAGCACTAGGCTCTTTCATCTCATAATGTCCCCTTTCTTCTGCCAATGTCAGCATCTTGTTCCACCCAGCACGAAACTCCAGTTAATGGAGTGGGAAATCACATTTCCTTTAAAATATTCAGTCAATCCTTTTTGGCCACTCTTAAATTTTCCTTCTAAAAATTAAACTGTCAGTTCTTTAGTTCTCAGACATTAGGGATGATTTCTTCAATCATTCATTAACCCAGTCTATAAAAAATTTCTGAATCCAACGTCATGACAGAAATTGAGGAAGTTGCAAAGATCTAAATCTACCACAAAGTTTAATACATGTATGCTACATGTATGTATTTTAACTTGAACAAAGGGGAAAAAACAAACAAACAAACAAGAGACCTGAGGTTCAAGTCTTTGGTTGAAAAATATGAACAGGGGCTCGGCGCCTATAGCTCAACCGGCTAAGGCGCCAGCCACGTACACCTAAGGTGGCGGGTTCAAATCCCCAGCCCGGACCCGCCAAACAACAATGACGGCTGCAACCAAAAAATAGCCGGGCGTTCTGGCGGGCATCTGTGGTCCCAGCTACTTGGGAGGCGGAGGCAGGAGACTCGCTTGAGCCCAGGAGTTGGAGGTTGCTGTGAGCTGTAATGCCACGGCACTCTGCCCAGGGGGACAGCTTGAGGCTCTGTCTCAAAAAAAAAAAAAGAAAAATATGAACAGGGACCCAAGTGATGACTTACACCTATAATCCCAGCACTTTGAGATAGGAGGATCACTTGAGGCCAGAAGTTCAAGACCAGGCTGGACAAAATAGAGAGATTCCTGCCTCTACAAAAAATTATTTAAAATATTAGCCAGGCATGTTGGCATGCACCTATAGTCCTTACTACTCAGGAGTGTTGAACCATAAGCATCATTTGAGCTCAGGAGTTTGAGGCTGCAGTGAACTATGAGTGCACAACTGCACTGTAGCCTGGGAGACAGAGTAAGACCCTGTTTTAAAAAAAAAAAAAGAAAAGAAAAGAAAAGAAAAATATGAATAGGAATTTAATACCACTGTACTTAGAAACATCTCTATGTATGATCTGAGGCAGAGGGCAGGCTTGGAGGTGTTTAGCAGTCCTAGCTAGCTAGGTGCAGTGGTCAGTGGACCAGGTCTGTACTAAAAGAAAATGAGCCTTAAAAAAAGCCATCAGAATGTTGATGCAGCAGTTTCCAATAGTTACTGCTCTCCTGAGAAGAATAAGCAGCTTTGAACTTTCAAAGCCAAACATTCCAGCATCCCAAAACAGAACTAAGTAAAGTATTAATCTTGCCTCCTGCAAAGATAGATAATTTGTAAGTAGGTGAAAGGGCACACAACTCTTATGAAACTGTTAAGACAGCTAACTAGTTTATAAAAATGTAAGACAGACATTGGCAGCAGGTAGGCTCAGACCCTTTTGCCTTTGGGAGTACATCAAAGCTACCACCACTCACAGAACGCAGGATGGGACAGCGAGGCAGGAGTAAATGACTAGAGTAAGCCAAGAGATTCTCAGGGGTCAGGGTAAGAACCCAGGGGGTGCCATGAGTTTCTTCTGCCCTCACTTCCTTCCTCCTCTTTGGACAGTCACAAGCAGAATTTGTAGGGACTCCTGTTTCATGTTCCCCTCTACAGCCTCTGCCTGCCCCAAGGACAGGCCTCTGCCCTCAGTTTTCATTGGCTTCCAGGAAGGTAATAGACTCACTTATGGGTCTAGGACCCAGGATTTATGACAAATGAAGGTTCCAATTCTCTGTGGACTCATGGGTCACAAATCACAGCTGACTTCCTCCACTTATGTCAAGTAATGATGTTTCAGGACACTAGAATGATGTCACTAGCTGAGAAATCCCAGTTGGGCTCAGGTCACATTCCTACTACATATGGGGAATAAGCTGGTACAGGTGCTGGGGACATCAATCTCTCAAACATGCAGAGAAAACATTCTGGTGCACACACACTTGAGTCACCAAAAGAACCTTTCAGACTCCCTTAAAGAGTGATGATCCCAGAAGAAATGTAGCTAGGACTTCTGAGCTGCCTGTCTGAGGCCCCAGTGGGAAACCTCTGTATCTATGTCCAGCCAGGTTTGAAGGATACCAGAACCTGTGGCACCTTCCCCTGGGGATCCTTTCCTGTGAACTCTGTCCTCCTGCTGGGTAATTCCTTGCTGTTGCAACTGGATCTTCAGCTCAGTATCTGCTGAGCTGAACACTCCCTTTCCCTCAGAAAGCCTTTTCTAATTTGCAAATCCCTAACCCGGATCAGTAAGTGAACCTGGTAGCCTAGTGACTCTCAAGGAAAGTTCTTTCACTGCCCAGCTTTTCTAGCTCAGCTGAAACTCCAGGGAGTTAGAGTTCCCATATTTGAGCAAGATGTAAAGAACATGCACATGCCCCGGGCGTTAACCTCACATCACTGCACAAATCCAGCTCCAACAACACAGGTCCTCTAGGGGGCTGACAAAGCCACTCAAAAGGAAAATCCAAGGGGCTGGGAAATAAGAAAGATTTCCCTCACTCCTTAAGAACTAAAGAAGGCAATGAACGACTTTACCTCAGAATACCTCAGAACACATTCCAGGTCAAGTCACCCAGAACACATATTCAGATGCATGAACTGACAACTGACCATATCCAAAAGGTAAGCAGCTTCTTATAGGGCATGACCAGGTTGTCACTTTGGGTTGAGGATGGGTAGGGGAAGGAGTAACCAGAGAAGAGGGAAGAGGCAGTTTTATATACATGCTTCTTTAAAAGTTCAGGAAAAAGGAGTATTTCCTCTTTTTCAGAACAGATGTCAAGAGAATGAAGGAAAAACGGTGACAGACCCTTAGTTCAAGCCCTGCTTCACCTTTCCTAGCTCCAGCCAAAGGTAGTCCTGAACCCCTCAGGGCCCTGGAGGGCCTTCTCGGTTCCCTCTTCAGTGAGGCCATCAGAATGGGAGGACAGATTGATCTGAGCTGTGAGGGTCACAGTCTGCCTGGAGGATACCCATTCGTAGTGTGCTGTGTGTTGCAGGACACGGAGTGAAAGCATCCAGAGTGCATGAGGGGTGGGAGGAGTGCCTGTTCAAAGACTGTGACAGTTCCCTCCGCGACCGTCCTGACACCCACCTCGGTCACGATGGTGGACAGGTAGACGTCCTGGCTGAACTCCCAGCCATCTAGGCAGTTCTCCTGCTCCAGCTGCTCCAGGTCCACGTCACGCCCCGGTTCCAGCCCGAGTGCTGAGAAGTTGGCGATGGTGGCGAGCCGGTAGCGGCGGCAGCTATGGAGCAACTCGCGACCGTCCTGCAGCCGCACCGGGATACTGTGGTTGCGCCACGAGCTGCTCAGGTTCGCGGTGTCCGGCACCCGGCAGTGGTGCTCCGGGGTCCCAGCTAGGAACACGGACGACAGGCCGCTGAAGCCGTTGGGGATGATGCTGGCGCTGAGCAGGAAGAAGATGAGGCGTTGGAAGGGCCCCCACTCGCCAAGGAAGGCGGTCACCTCGTCGTAGTCCCGCATGCCACCCCTTGCGGCCCACGGCCCGGGGTCGAGGGATGCGGCGGCGCGCGGGGGCGGGGCGCGGAGGGCTTATGCGCGTGCGCGCGGAGCACCCGCCGCCTGACTGAGCGAACTAAGAACTGACCTGAGGCTGGCCTCCAAGAGGGCAGGCTCGCTAGCTGCCGCCGCCGCAGCGGCCCGGCCGCCGGGGCCAGCCTTACATAGGGTGCGAGCCCGGGGCGGGCTCTGGGCCCGGCACACTGGGCGCTCCTCACTTGTCCGCTGTGCGGTGCGGATGGGGGCGGAGCTGGGGCCGGGCGTTATGGCGGGTGGGCGGGGCCTGCGCCCCGGGGCGGGGTTGCTGACCCGGGCGGGCTAGGCCACACCTCAGCAAGCCAAGCCCCCAGGGCTCGATTTAGGAAGGCGGAGAGATTCTTGGCCTTGGCACCTAAGGCTGAGCTCGATTCTCTACCCTAGGGCACGTGTGGATGGGCGAGTGGCTGTTAGGTTCAAATATTAAAAAAACGCCCCCCCGCAACTTTTTGCCCAAGCAGGTACAGAGATTATGTGAATGGCCCAGAGTCTCAACATGGTTAATAATGCCCATATTTATAAGAGTGACAGGGATTATTTTGAAACCAGTACTGAAAACTACCCAAGTAGAGAGTCTGGGAGAAGTAATGACTTTTAATTCCAACCCAGAAGCCCTTTCCACATTATGGTCTGTAACAATTATGTTCAAGCAAATGTAAAAGTTTAACTTCAAATAATTGTAAAATATTGTCAAGCAAGTGTAAAAATTTTACTTCAAGATTAATGATACTACCCTAGGATTAGGAGTTCCTCTCTAATTCCTTATTTCTGCACAGCGTTTATTCAGGGGTTAACTGGTAAGGGAAAAAAATAGCAATTTAAAGGGGTGTCCAACCTAAGGGAGCCCTGATTTTGTGAGATCCTTTTTTGCATATTTGAGGTGTCCTATATCACAAAAAGTATGCACGGAACTTTTAAAATGTGTGATCTAAGGCAATTCTTCCAATGTAAGTCAGAGAAGAAGAAAAGTTGGATGCCACTGTTGGGATTTGTTATGTTAAATTTTCTAGTAGCTATGTCATTATTATTATTATTTTAAGATTTAGCAAATACAGTCTGGGTATGGTAGCTCATGCCTGTAATCCTAGCACTCTGGGAGGACAAGGCAGGTGGATCTCTGGAGCCTGGGAGTTGGAGACCACCTAAGCAAGAGCAACACTCTGTCTCTAAAAATAGCTGTTGTGGAGGGTGCCTGTAGTCCCAGTTACTCCGGAGGCTGAGCGAAGAGCCCGAGGTTGCTGTGAGCTATTATGCCATGGCACTCAACCCCAGGGCAACTGAATGAGGCTCTGTTTAAAAAAAAAAAAAAAGACTTAGCAAATACAAATAAAGGACACCTAGTTAAATTTGAATTTGAATTTCAGACAAAGAACAAATGAGTTTTTTGTTTTTGTTTTTTTGTAGAGACAGAGTTTCACTTTATCGCCCTCGATAGAGTGCCGTGGCGTTGCACAGCTCACAACAACCTCCAACTCCTGGGCTTAGGCGATTCTCTTGCCTCAGCCTCCCAAGTAGCTGGGACTACAGGTGCCCGCCACAGAGCCGGGCTATTTTTTTGTTGCAGTTTGGCCAGGGCCAGGTTTGAAACCCCTACCCTTGGTATATAGGGCCGGCCCCTACCCACTGAGCCACAGGTGCCACCCCCAAATAAGTTTTTAATATTAAGTCCCATGCAGGAATATATGGAATTCAAATAAAACTGTTCTGTACTTTATCTGTCAGTGCTACACATTAAAAAAGTAAAAAGAAATGGTGAAATTCATTTCAATGAATTTTAGTTAATCCAGTATATATCCAGAACATTATCATTTCATCATGTAATAAATATAGAAATTATTGATATTTTACACTGTTATATAAGAATAATTGATCTTACCTTTTTCTTCCCCTTCTTGCTCTTTTTCTTTTTTTGAGGTGGGGAACAGAGTCTCACTATGTTACCCTAGGTAGAATGCCGTGGTGTCATAGCTCACAGCAACCTCCAACTCCTGGGCTTAAACAATTCTCTTGCCTCAGCCTCCCAAGTAGCTGGGACTACAGGCTCCCGCCACAGTGTCCGGCTATTTTTTGTTGTTGCAGTCGTTATTGTTTTAGCTGGCCCAGGCTGGGTTCAGGTCCGCCAACTTCACTGTATGCAGCTGGCTTCATAACTACTTTGCTATGGACGCCAAGCCCCCTTCCTACTAACTCTTAAGAGTTGTGTGTATTTTACAGTACATTCCATTTGTACTAGCCACACTTTTTTAAAGTGCTCAGTGGTAACTGAGCTGTCTTATTTGAGGACACCATTACCAGGCATTTAAAAATTTGGACTAATCTGGCTGGGCACTGTGGCTCCCATGTATAACCCTAGCACTCTGCAACAACTGGGCAGGTGGATTGCCTGAACTCAGGAGTTCAAGACCAGCCTGAGCAAGAGTGAGACTCTGTCTCTACTAAAAATAGAAAAAAACTAGTTGGGCCTTGTGGTGGGCACCTGTAGTTCAGCTACCCAAGAGGCTGAGGCAAGAGAATTGCTTGAGCCCAAGACTTTGAGGTTGCTGTGAGCTATGATGATGCCACTGTACTCTAGCTCTGGGAGCAGAGCAAGACCTCCTCTCAAAGAAAAAAAATTTTGAGTTGCTAATTTCAACGCTGCGAGATATTCCTTTTTTGTAGTAATGGTGGTTTAGTGATAGAAAATTAAGTGTACCTTTAAAAAATATAAGTTGTTGGTTAAGAATATTTGATAGTGGGCAGCACACGTGGCTCAGTGAGTATGGTGCCGGCCCTGTATACTAAGGGTGGCAAGTTCAAACCTGACCCCAGCGGAACTGCAACAAAAAAATAGGCGGGCGTTGTGGTGGGTGCCTGTAGTCCCAGCTACTCACGAGGCTGAGGCAAAAGAATTGTCTAAACCCAGGAGTTGGAGGTTGCTGTGAGCTATGATGCCACTCAACCCCAGAGCAACTGAATGAGTCTCTGTCTCCAAAAAAAAAAAAAAAAGTTGATAGTACTATATTCTATATTGAAAATAAAAATATAGAAGGGGAAGCTAACGGTTGGGGGACCTAATGCAGCCACACACAAACCCTTCCCCCTCTTCCTCCTCCTCTTTTCCTAAGACAAAGGACCAAGTTAGCCTTAACCCTGAGAAGTTCTCAACAAAGGACCCTAAGTTTCCTGGCAAGCTATGGAATTTGCCCACACCCTTGGCCCCAATAAAAAGGGGCTCTAACTGCCCTGGGTGCAGATGCCACCTTTGCACTCCCAGGTGGGTCACCCTCCCCTTTCAGTAAACCTTATCTGAACATCTCAGCTCTGGTCTCATCTCTGGGTGCTGCTGCTTACACCTTTCACTAACCCTTACCAGAAGGTTTTACACAAGGGAATATAAACATTCCCATAAAATGTAGAAGATTTTTTAAAGATGTGATTAAATGTTATCACAGGTATTGTTGCAAGGGGAATAAAAAAAAAGGCAAAAATATTTTCTGTCTCCCCAACTTTTGGGATCTGAAACCTGTAACCCTGCCTCAGGCCAAAGGTAGGGAGGAGCAGGGAATATCTCTTTTCTGTGCCACAGGAGATAGCTCCAGGGAATCTTCTAGGCAGAGGTCATAAAACCTTCTTTTTTTTTTTTTTTTGAGACAGAGCCTCAAGCTGTCCCCCTGGGTAGAGTGCCATGGCATTACAGCTCACAGCAACCTCCAACTCCTGGGCTCAAGCGAGTCTCCTGCCTCTGCCTCCCAAGTAGCTGGGACCACAGGCGCCCGCCACAACGCCAGGCTATTTTTTGGTTGCAGCCGTCATTGTTGTTTGGCGGGTCCGGGCTGGGGATTCGAACCCGCCACCTTAGGTGTACGTGGCTGGCGCCTTAGCCGGTTGAGCTATAGGTGCCGAGCCATAAAACCTTCTTAAAATGGGATTAATCTGGGTGGAGGACACGGGACTGTGTCAGAGGCCATGAGATTGTCTTGAGCTAAAATGAGATTATGAGATCAGAACCTTCAAAAGCTCCGAGTTTCAGCTTAGAAGTAGGAATTTGGATTTTGAGACCATTGTCTGCCATTTTCCTCCTTTGTCCTCCAGGGTTACAGGTTTCAGATCCCAATAAACTTGAGTTTCCTTCTGGAATCTCTTGTCCCTCTTTTTCTGATGTGGCTTCAGGGGGCAAGTGCTGAACTTTTGTTAACAGCATCTGTAATTTCTTTATATTTGCTCTTCACTATTCCTGCTTCTTGAAGACGTATGGCTATGCCTTTAGCAATGTACTTAATCTTTCTTTTTTTTTTTAGGATTATGGGTGTGAGCCACCTCATGTGGCCAATGTACATAATCTTTTCTAACATCTGAACTTAGAGTCCTTTTCTGGAACTAACTGAAAAAAGAAACCAAAGATTTTTGAAAATAAACTTGGTTTTTATATCCTAAAATATTATTGTAATATTTCAAAATAAGTGAAAGCTCCTTGGAGAAGAATGTTGACCTGTGTTTAGACTAAACAAGGTGAATAAATCTTACTTTATCTTTAGGGAAATAGCAGTTTGGCATCAGAAACCCTCCTGAGAGAGTGGGAAAACAATTCAGTAGACTACCAAAGGAGCTACAGATACGTAAGAAGCAAATAGTTTCTCTGAAACTACTCTGGTGCAAGGGCTACTTGATTCAGGAAGTATTTTTAAATGAAAAATAAAAAAAATATTTTTTAAGACAGCCACAGAATCTGAATAAAAACTTTTTTTAAAAAATAGGAGAACAGGCTCGGCACCTGTAGCATAGTGGTTACGGGTGCCAGCCACATACACGGAAGGTGTTAGTTCGAGCCCAGCCCAGGCCAGCTAACCAACAATGGCAACTGTAACAAAAAATAGCCGGGCTGTGGGCAGCACCTCTGGCTCAATGAGTAGGTCACGGGCTCCATATACCAAGGGTGGCAGGTTTGAACACGGCCCCTGCCAAACCGCAACAAAAAATAGCTGGGCATTGTGGTGGATGCCTGTAGGAGGCAGATAGCAGATTCAGGGTTAGAACTCTAAATCAAATGAA